ACAATTACATAATTTCACATATACCATTTTTCAAGCTCATGGGCAGGAATTGGGAGAACCGGCCTTAACAAAAATGGCCAAGTCCCAGAATTCTCTTCCTTTTTCTTTCATACAACATCACAGCAGCCAAATTAGAGGATTTCTTACATAGTTAAACTTAAAACCCATTGCAAGGCTACTGGAATTCATTCCCCTCTTCCTAGTAGATTTTTCGGGCAACCCAAGCTAATTCACACAACCAATTAACCCACAAGGCAGCAATTAATCACCCAATTTTCGGAGATTAGAGAAGCTAACTTACCAAAAACCTCAACAAGCAAAGCTGGAGCTAGCGGTTATGGGAGGAGTCGGCGAGAAAATTGCAGGGGAGTCACGGAATGGCTAGAAATCGGAAGAACAACAAGATTAGAGTGAACCCAACACCAATCAAGTGAGAAGAGATGAATTCATGGCTGACTCAAACCAAAAAACCGAAATCTCACACCCACACCAGTTGAAACCGGCGGCAGGGGAGGAAGACGCAGGGCAGATCTGGAATTTCTGGGTTGAGGGAGAGAGTTCTAGGCTTGAGACTTGGTTCTTGAGCAAGAAAGGAGGGAAATTTCAAGAGGCCTTCATCGTTTCTCAAGAGGAGGGAAATCGGTGGCTGGGAGGGAGGCTTTCGGGAGAGGAAGAATCGGGAAGAAAAACAAAGCAGACCGCGTGCAATGAGGAAGAAAAGAAAAATATCTAAGCTTGATCCTTATCCTAATTGGTTTTCTTTTTAGCCCCTTGACTTTTGAAAATTGATGATTAAGTTTAAAACATTACTTTCTCACAATCAGGTCCCTAGCTTACACTTAATTGTTCTTGAAAATTTTGGGATATTACATCCACCCCTCCTAAAAAGGAGCTTAGTCCCCTAAACTCATCCCTCAATCTTGGAAGAGGTGCGGATGTTCCTGCCTCATCTTGGATTCTAACTCCTAAGTAGCTTTTTCAACCGAATGGTTGTCCCAGAGGACCTTAACAAAACGAATGGTCCTTCTCCGTATTATCCTCTCCTTGAAATCCAAAATGCAGATCGGGTGCTCATCATAAGTAAGATCCTCTCGGAGTTGAATTGGTTCGGGATTAATGATGTGACTCGGGTTGAAAACATACTTCCGAAGTAAGGACACATGAAACACATCATGAACACCCACTAGATTTCCAGGCAACTCCAATCTATAAGCTACTTCGCCAATCCTTTCCAAGATAGGATATGGTCCAATATACCTCAGACTCAATTTTCCCCGGATGCCAAACCTGAGGACACCTCGAGTGGGTGACACCTTCAAAAATACATGGTCACCAACTTCAAACTTGAGGTCTCGTCTCCTTCTATCCGCATAGCTTTTCTGCCTGCTTTGTGCAGCACGAAGGCGTTCCTTGATCAACTGCACAATCTCAGAAGATTGTTGCACCAATTCTGGGCGTAAAATGCTCCTTTCGCCCACTTTCGTCCAACAAACAGGTGATCTACACCTTCGACCATACAAAGCCTCAAATGGCGCCATGCGGATGTTGGACTAATAACTATTATTGTATGCGAACTCTGCCATGGCTAAGTGTTGATCCCACGAACCCTTCCAATCTAGAACACAAGCCCTCAACATATCCTCAAGTATCTGAATAGTTCTTTCAGATTGCCCGTCAGTTTGAGGATGAAAGGCCGTGCTGAAATTTAATTGAGTACCAAGTGCCTACTGCAAGCTTGTTCAGAAATGAGATAAAAATCTAGTATCTCTATCTGACACAATAGACACAAGGACTCCATGTAGCTTGACTACCTCCTCCATGTACATATTGGCAAGCTTTTCAATAGAGGTGGCAGTTCGGTAGGGTAAGAAGTGAGCTGATTTGGTCAATCGATCAACGATGACCCAGATGGAATCATTACCCTTTAAGGTTCGTGGTAGGCCTGTCACAAAGTCCATGGTGATGTTCTCCCACTTCCATTGGGGAATAGGTAAAGGCTGCAGTTTTCCAGGAAGTCTCTGGTGCTCAGCCTTGATTTTTTGACAAGTTAGGCATTGTGAGACAAATCTAGCTATCTCCCTCTTCATGTTCCGCCACCAAAATGTACTACGTAAATCGCGATACATCTTGGTGCTACTTGGGTGAATTGTATAGCTAGTATAATGGGCATCTCCCATAATCTCATGCCTTAGAGCATGATCTCTTGGTACACATAGCCTGTTACCGAACCACAAAATCTCATCATCAGAAATTCTGAATTCTTGCATGTGGGGTTCCCCGGCTCTTACTTTTTCCTTCATCCTCTGCAAGAAAGGATCTTTCTGCTGGGCAAGTTTAATTATATCTATTAATGCCGGTTGTGCACTGAGAGCTGCTAGATAAGCCGTAATGCTGTCCATTCTCAACTCCACATCCAGTTTCACAAGATCCTCAAGTAACTCCTTCTGAGTGGCAAGGATGCTAGAGGCAGTGCCAGAGGACTTCCTACTCAATGCATTCGCTACTTTGTTAGCTTTGCCTGGATGGTAGCTAATGGTCAAGTCGTAGTCCTTTAACAGTTCAAGCCATCGCCTCTACCTCATATTAAGCTCCTTTTGAGTGAAAATGTACTTAAGGCTCTTGTGATCGGTAAAGATTTCACAAGTCTCACCGTATAGATAATGCCTCCAGATCTTGAGTGCAAATATCACGGCTGCCAACTCCAGATCATGGGTAGGGTAATTTTCTTCATAAGGCTTTAACTACCGAGAGGCATATGCAATAACCCTATCCTTCTGCATCAAGAAACATCCCAAACCCTTTTTAGAGGCATCACTATATATGGTGAATCCTTCCCCATGGATTGGAAGTGCAAGTACAGGAGCAGTGACCAACTTTTCCTTCAGGGTTAAAAAGCTCTCCTCACACTCTGGAGTCCACTCAAACTTGGCATCCTTCCTGATCAGACGAGTCATTGGCTGAGCAATTCTGGAGAAATCCCCCACAAATCGACGGTAATATCCAGCCAATCCTAGAAAACACTGAATTTCTACGACACTGTTTGGCTTTTTCCAATTCACCACGGCCTCAATTTTCTGGGGGCCAACAGAAATTCCATCCTTAGTCACAACGTGACCTAAGAATGCAACATTGTCTAGCCAAAATTCACACTTCTTAAATTTAGCAAATAGCCTCTCACTTCTCAATGTCTCGAGGACTGTCCTTAAGTGCTTTTCATGAAGAGCATGGCTAGAAGAATGGACCAAAATGTCATCAATAAAGACGACCACAAACTTGTCTAGGTACTGGCTAAATACCCGATTCATCAAGTCCATAAATCTAGCAGGGGCATTTGTTAAGCCAAAAGGCATAACCAGGAATTCATAACGACCATAACGGGTGCGAAAGGCAGTCTTTGGCACATCATCAGGTTTAATCTTCAATTGGTGGTAGCCAGATCGAAGATCAATCTTAGAAAATACTTGGGCACCCTTGAGCTGGTCAAACAAGTCATCAATTCTAGGAAGGGGATACCGGTTCTTCACAGTTACCTTATTTAGTTCCCGGTAATCAATGCATAGTCTCATGCTCCCATCTTTCTTCTTAACAAACAACACTGGAGCTCCCCAAGGTGACACACTAGGGTGTATAAACCCCTTCTCAAGGAGTTCCTCCAGCTGAATCTTTAACTCCTTCAATTCTATAGGAGCCATACGATATGGTGCTTTAGAAATAGGTCCGGTGCTAGGAACAAGGTCAATAGCAAATTCAACCTCCCTATCCGGAGGTAAACCTGGGAGATCCTCCGGAAATACATCCGAAAACTCACGCACCACTGGTATGTCTTCTAGTCTCAATGTCACACTACTAGCATCAGTGACGGAAACTAGAAAACCCTGGCAACCATTTACAAGATATTTCTGAGCCTGTAAGGCAGATATTAGCGTGGGTGGAGCAAAAGAGCCACTGCCTTGGAAACTAAACTCTGGCTCACCAAGAATATTAAAAATTACCCATTTCCGATGGCAGTCTGTAAAGGCAAAATGCTTTGACAACCAATCCATCCCCAAAATGATATCAAAATTGGAGATATCTAAAACAAACAGACTAGCACTCAACTGTCTACCATCAATATAGATATTCGCAGTTCTACACACATCTCTAGTAGTCATCACCACTCCTAAAGGGGTGTCCACATGCAATTCAAAATCAGAGGTATCAACAGGCAAAGCTCGTTTCAAAGCATAAGATCGGGCAATAAAGGAGTGCGATCCACTCGAATCAAATAAAACATGTGCAAAATCAGAGTTAACAGGCAAAGTACCCGTGATTACGTCGGTAGCTGTAGCTTCCTGATGGGTCATCACGTGAACTCTTGCCTGCTGGGCTTGGGCTCTTGCCTGTTGGGCTCTTGTCCTAACCCCGACATTCTGTTTCGGTGCCCCCTGATTAGTAGAACCTTGCTGAGATGTAGATTGAGTACTTTGAGTTTTGGGGTCTAGTAGCAAACAATTTGCAATCTGATGTCCTTGCTTGCCACATCTAAAGCAAGCCCCAGTAGCAATGTGGCACTGATCACGGGTGTGCCCAACCTTCCCACAAAACTGGCAAGTAGGTTGAGTAGGGTGAGCACGTTGGGCCGTGGATGCCTGGCCCCCAGTCTTGGTAGCTCCGAGCCCTTTAGAACCCTTGCTGATATCAGGCCTAGGCGGTGCAGGGACAAAGGGCCTACGGCTCCCCTCGAATTTTCTCTTCCCCAGGGATGACCCAACACCGTGCTGCCCCGAGGACTTGAACCTAGCCATTGCCTTCTCCTGGTCTAGGGCTCTGTCCGCTGCCTCTCGATAAGTGGCGGGTTTAAATTGGTTTACCGCCAAATAAATGTCGGAATTCAAGCCCCACAGAAATTTGTCGGCCTTGGCTTGCTCATCGGCAACTTGGCTACCCACAAAAGGCAGATAGCGGTCAAACTCCTCCTTGTATTGCTCAACAGTACTTGACCCTTGCTTCAAATCTGCAAATTCCCTTTGCAGTTCCCGCCTTCTGCTATCTGGTATGTACTCTTGCATGAACACCTTCTTGAAACCATCCCAGCTGCTCAATTTAGGCTCTCCTTGGTGTAGCTTCAGATAACTCTCCCACCAAGTTAATGCCTTCCCAGTAAGCATGTAACTGCCTACATTGACCTTAAGGTCATCAGAAACATGCAGTAGGCGGAATCCCCGCTCCACCTCGATGATCCACGATCCCACCTGCTCAAAACCTGTAGTACCATCAAATCCCTTGGTCATCAGCTTCTGGAATTCTGTATAGACCTTCCAGCTAGGCACAGCAGGAGCATAAGAGATAGGAAAAGGGGAAATTGGAGCAGGGGCCATAGGAGTGGAGACCACTGGGGATGGAGGTGGTACACTTGTGGTAGGAGATACTTAGCGTCTTATCTCCGCCATAAGTTCCTGAACAAAGTTGGCCACTTGAGGATTGCTCGTCCTTCCCTCCTGCGGAGCAGCTTAGGTAGAGGAATTGGCAGCTGGGATCGGAGGAGTGTCCTGATCCTTACGGCTATCCTTTGGGCGCCCACGCCGTTTTGGAGCCATCTATAACCACATAAAAGGTGTATAGACTATTAATTGAATGCTCCACAAGAAATTTCTCGACAAGTTTCCGCTTCCAGGACCAACCAACACAAAACAAAGTAAAATAAATAAAAATCTCACACATTAAGGAAAATCAAACAAGCGCCCTTAATCAACCCCATTCTCATGCCTCACCACATTCCTCTAACTAGTTTGCTAGCCAATTTCTACACTAGCCCTAGGCTCTTAATTTAAACCTAGGCTCTGATATCACAAAATCTGTCATGCCCCAAATCCCAGAGCGAGACAGACACCATGCACTCGTGAGCGGGGCCCACAAATGTACAAGGCTCAAAACCTACTGAGTTCTTACTTAGCAATTCAGACAATTTGGATCTAAACTTTTTTACTTACCAAATACTTACCAATCAAGATGTGCAATATTTATAACTTCATATATACAATCATGACTAAAACTAAGTTCTGTACACAGAACTTCTGAGTTAAGTATGGGTGACTAACAGCCTAGCTACAAAATCTAAGTCCAAAAGTGCCTAGCCATCTAGCTCGTCACTCCCCCTGGCTCCCCATGCGTCGGGTCTCACTACCTGAAATGGTGGACAAGGAAAAATTATGAGATAAAATATCTCAATAAGTAAACGTATGGATGACCTGTGGGTAAAATTTGAGCATTTCAAATAAACAATTTAAACATAAACGGAATGTTCAATGATAAGCCATTATGCAGAAATAAGTTCAGTAGTAGTCAATTAAACTTATAGCATGCCAACAAGTGCAATCAGAAAAACGGATACAAGTACGGGAACGAAATAGACGTCTCCTCTATAGGTCATGGCCAGTGTTATAAGTCTCCCACTGG